AGCGCTGGACAAAGAGAGCCTTCTCCTCCAAGAACATCAGCTGAGAAAGACGCTCGTCTTGTTTCATCAAGCTGGAACTGGAAGGTGATCTCTGCCAAGGTGGAATCACCTTTGCCGCTGATGCCGGTCACTGACGTGGTGCGCTCCTTCCACACAACATGCTTGTCTAAACCTGCAGGACGAAGACAATGGTCCATCAGATCTCGAAGCGTTTCGCTTCCTATCAGTCCTGCTGCTGCTCCAGGATCCACAAGTAGCCCACGGCGCTTTTCTCCAGCCACAGTGTGAAAAGTGGGAGGTCAACGTCCTTGGTGTCGTGGTGGATCATGACTGGAAAGTTCAACAGGGTCTTAGAGCTTGACTCATTCTTCTCTTCTGCATTGGTGTTTTGTTGCTCAGGATCTTGTTCTCGATTTTGCGCGCGTCGTAGGAAGTCATCCTCCCGACTGATGTCCAGATGGACAGCACCTGAGGAGTCCTCTTTTCTTGTGCTCGTTGGATGAAGGTGCACTGATGGTCCACTGAGATCGAGGCCAGTACGGGCATGGTGCAATTGTCGTTCTCTTCGATCAGGGGAGTTGGTGAAGCCATGAGTTGGGCGACTCGACCAGGTCGGCAAAGGAGGTACTTGTGTCATGTAGCTCTTACCTTTGCCTTTCCCCAGCGGCCAGGATAGCCACGAGAACGAAACTTGAGCGGGGAAACACGAAAGGTAGAGACGGACCGAGTAGCTGTCGGGGCCTTTTCTGGTGAGGGACTGTCTCCGGTGTTTCAGGAACGTGCCCCTTGGTCAATCAAGGAAGAAACCAACAAAGCCAGAGAGCACAAGAAGGCGTAAGAAGGCTCAAGAGGAACACCGTTGCGGTCAGATTGCGCCACACGGCTCTGCAGAGAGGCTGCGTTGCGTCGACGTTCGTTTGTGTCTAGGTGTGTGAAAACAGGCGCGCGTAAAAGTCGCAATGCGTAAACGCTCGCATGTGTACCAGCTATGGTCCCACAGCTGCACGCACTGTGTCAGGATTACAAGCCTGCACGCGTTGCGTCGAAGCCGCAGTGACTCAGTGACCAACCCCCTTGTAACAATAGTGCTGAACCCCCTTGTAAGGATAGTGCTGGAGGGGTGCGGCCGGTACTGCCAGGGATGGACGTCGCGCTATGGTGGGTGTGCTCCACGATGCGGTAAGATTTCGCCACGCTAGGGTATAAGGCTGAGTCGAATGGTGTTCCGCGACGCAAGGGTTCTTTGCAGAGAGGCTGTGTTGCATCGATGCTCGTTGGTGTCGAGCAATATGGTCTGTGAACGCAGTACGCGCTGTGTCAGGCTGCCGGGTGCGCACGCGCGGCATTGAAGCTGCATTGCGCGACCTCATTGCGCAGGGTTCGTGCTGTATTGCGCAACCTCATGGCCAGCGTCGTACTGCTGTGACTGTTAAGCGCATGACTTCACCTTATGTCCAGAATTTAGTAGCGCTGGCGACGAGGGGACGGGGAGGGGAGTGGAGGGGGGGTTGAATCAATTGATTTATCAATCATTCATCACATGGGAGGGGGGGGGGAGGGGGGGTGGGGGTGTTAGACATTGATCTACCAATCTTTAGTCCCGAGCAAGCTCTCAAGCCAGTCCCTTTGCTTCGCAAAGCAAACTCAAGGTAGTCCTTACCAGGCTACCTTTCGTGACTTGCCCTTGCCTTTTCCTTTGAAACCACCTTGCTTTCCTTTGTGTTTTCCTTTGCCTTTACCATAGGACCATCCACTGCGTTGACTGCCCTTGGAACTCATAGGACAGGGTGATGCCATGTGCCATTTTGATCCACAGACGGAGCAGCCGGTACCAAAGGAGCCTTTGCCCTTTCCTTTGTAGAAGTCTTCAACGCCGGCTGAACTAGAAGTGGCTTCTTGTATTGTTTCCGGCTCGTAGTCAGGTTCATCACCTGTCCAAATTCTTGCCATTCATCTTCTTGCCAAGGGGCTTCATTCATGTAGTCCTCATAGGCGAACTCATCTGGCCACCATTCATAGGTGTCGGAGGCTTCTTGCCAGTAGGTGTCATTCTCCTCCGGGGTGTAGTAAGCATCAGAGCCGGTCCATGCCTGTTCATACTCCTCTTCAATGTCATAGTACTCGGTGGTGCTCGGATAGCTGGAGGCGCTCTCATAGAAGCTCTTGCTGTCGATGCGCTAACCTGATGGCCAGATTGCGAGCATCATCAAACCTGTTCAGATCACCGTGGATCTGCATGAGGATGTCGTCTAATTATGTGCTTCTGAGGTAGCTGGCTGGCACGGAAGAAAAGGAACGTCTTCGTCACGTTGCCGATCTGTAAGCCAGCGTGCGCAATCGCCTCCTCCAACTTCAGGTTCCATTCGGCTGCAAATTCCTGCAGCGAAGGTCGGCCACGCTTCATGTCAAAGAAGATCTCGAGGCTCTTCGTGGCTTGAACCTGTTCTGCATCACCGAATGCCTCTCTGAGCGCATTGCAAAGCACTTGCGCGCCAGAAGGGATGGCATGTTGGATGATCTGGCCATTCATAGGGTCCCGGACTTCTTCCACGGACAGACGCACGAGTGCAGCGTCGCCGGCATCCACACGACCATGAGGATTGGGAAGTCGAAGCGAGTGGGCGATCGCTTGTGCTCGACCCTGCAATCTTCCAGCGACCAGTGGGCCAACAGTTTCATCCACGCCATTCGCAAGCGCTCCATGTAGAGCTTGAGGGGATATGCAGGATCTCCAGGAGCCCAACCTGGAGGCACATCCTTCCTGAACTCACCAAGAGGCAAGCCCCCGGATGGGGCGGCACCAACGGCAGCCATGCCGTCCAAACATCCCTACCCTATCCTGAGGGGGGGCGTCGAAAATTGTAAGTTACATTTTCCTGCGCGCAGGGCCTCAAAAATGTAATTACATTAACTTTGAGGTGGCCTCAAAAAAGGTAACTTACATTTTTGAGGCCTCATGGGTGATTTCCTGGGGAATGACCTCAAAAATGTAAGTTACATTTTTGAAGCACAGAGGAGCGCTCACGACCACGTCCCGCATGGTCAAATGCGGCATTTCAAGGAAATGCCTGCCGAAACATGTCAGCCGTCAGCCGTCAGCCATCAAGTTGAATGATGCTGCCCGCGGCCGGCTGCATCATTAGCATTTTTGAACTTAAAAAACAGATATATAAAATATATATATGTTGTTTTGTTACAACTCTTTTTGGCCGGGGGGGTCTTCCATACACAACTCCATACACAACTCCTTCTGCAGCAACAAGCCACACAAAAACAAAGCAGATGAGGGAACAGCAGTGGGTCTGAGTCATCATCAACAAAGAAGAACAGGAAGCACACCCAAAGCAAACTGCCAAGAAACAGGAACATACATGTTCCCACTGAAGACCCCAAAGGAAGGCAACAAAGCGAAACCCAAACATAACAGACGATCACACTCCATACACAATAAACAATAATGGAGAACAATAAAGGAGAGGCTGCCTGTTCTATTGGGCAGGAGAACAAGGATATTCAACGCCGTTTGATCCCCGGGTTTCCTGCCCCCTGCTTGCGGTTCGTGTGGTCGGACGTGTGTGCTTTTCAGTATGCTAAAATGCAAGTACCTCAGGGGGACACCCCAATTCCTTGTAAATTCTGGGGAGTTGGGCATGTGGCCAAAATGTAAGTTACAATTTGTGAGGTCAAACTTTCTCACAGAACCCATGTATTCCCTGTAAAATCTGAGGGTTTGGATGCGTGGACTAATTGTAAGTTACAATTTTTGACGTCTGCAAATCTCACCTTTCGCCTGTGTCCTGGTCCTGCATTTTTGGAGGCTATGTTTTCCTTGGTGTTGAGGCATCAGCAAACAGTTGCCAAATAATACTTTTAGTTAATTACTTATTTAGAAAATATTTCATTAAGTGACCCCCACCCGCAAATAGTTTCTTAGTGATTGGCGTATCTTCGATCTGCCAACGCACCCTAGGGGGGGGAGTAAAAAAAATGTAAGTTCAGGCCTCCAGGTCCCAAGTTACATTTTCCAGACCCCCCCCCCGCCCTCGATCTGCCGACCCCCCCAGGGGGGGGGTTGCAACAAGTTATATACATTTTTTTGCCCCCCCCTCCCCCCCCTTGACTAGTTTCGATGGTGCCTGGGGGGGGTAACTTACATTTTTTGACCCCCTAGGGGGGTACCCTAAAATGTAACTTACTTTTTTGAGGTCACCCCTCCCGGAAGTAGCTCAAGGGGGTAGGGATGTCCAAACCAAAGTCCACCTTCTCGGCCGCGAGAATCGCTGAGAAGGGCTCGAGGAGGATGTTGGTGGTGCCGAGGTGACAGGCAAGGGACCAAAGCAAAAGCGCAGGCCGAAGTGCAATCGCCACCATGTAATTAGCGGAGGCGCGTGAAACCTGACAAAAAGAAAGGTCCTTGGATCGGGCTCGTACGACCCTCTCTCAAGGGTGGAGCCTCCTTGCGGAGGCTCCGCTACCAGATTTGGTAGCACTCCTGTTTTGACGCGAAAGGCCGGCCTGCGGTAAATGTCTGATGCTTTACATGTCAAAAAGTTCACTGTTTGAACCATGCGAGACCTTGTGTTTCATGAAGCACACAAGCACACACATATACAAGAATCCACAAATGCCTAATCACTCATCAAAGCAATTCCTCAGACTTCCTCCTTAGGAACGACTCAGCTCACAAGCTACCAAGTCGCTGTCAGCTTGCTTGAATGCGGTGCCTCAAGTACGCGCATGATGCATTCCAGGTCCACCATCGGTTTGTGAGGCTTCATACCCCAGAACATCGAGTCCGGCACCGACCTCTGAGCTGAATTTGTAAGTAACCTTAAAGCGGAAGCGAACGAGCCAAACCGGCATAGCATCGGTAGCAGCCACAATAAATCTTGCATAATGTATGCAACGTAGCAGCATGAATTGTTCGAGTCAAGTCAACAAACAACGAAAAGGCAAGAATCAAACGCCATGTGGGAAAATTTGCGCCAAGAAACAGGCAGGTTGAGGGCACTTGTCCTACCACTGGGCTCGAACCATTCCCCTTCCTGACAAGTGACAAGCAGGAGATCCGATCCGAAGTCATTCATGCCGAACGGATATCTGAATCATTCATCGGGAGAAAAGAACAGAACGCAACTGCAACATGCAAACATTTATCTTCTGGAAGCTCTTTGCACAAACACGCGCATATAGGTTTTCAGTAGAAGGCTTCAATCACTTTGGATTGTGGTGAACAGGCATCAGGCATCAGCCCCGATCTTGTGGGGAATCATGTGCGACATAATCGTGTAAGGCATGTGCAATCCACTCTAGGTCACATTTCTGCACACGAACTCAAATTGCAACAGCTGTAAAACAAGCCTTCGACCGACCATGGAGAGAACTCACATTTGGGCATATGGCATATGGATTGTTGCCTCTTTTCGGACCCTTCTAATAGTTGACATACACAGGAAAGCCTTCGCCGGATTGATTGCGGCAACCGTCGCAAATGACCCACCAGGAAGCAACTCACAACTCCAATAGCAAGCAACCAGTTTTGCAAACATTGCTCAAGGAACGCAATACGTCTCTTGTTTTGTTCAAACGCGCACGTATGCACACGCACGGCTTCGCTAAGAATGGGCCAAGCTTCAGGGACTGGAAGGCTGTGGCGGATGGCGGCCTTGATGGCTTGCGGCCCATTGTATGCCAACCGTCCAAAATCTTACAAACAAATTTGCCTAGAACCTCGCATTTCTTTGTATAATTTTGTATCTGCCTGGAGCTTCGTATCTGCCATCACCTCCTTGAGGATATCCTTAACACCGTCCACCAGCACTGTCCGGCTGTTGAGGTCACCTGGCAAAGTAGGTCTGCACGTATTTGAGGGCCAAACTCATGAGGGATGGCTTGGGGTAGAAAGTCATGAAAGTCAGTGTAAAACACCCCACATATACACAAATCTCGTAACACACTGCGAACCAACCGTCGTCAAACCTTGTAGCAGGAGCAAGGTGTTCTCGGACAAAAGCCCATGATAGGACGCATTGCGCAGAACTCGTCGGAGAATCCTCCATGCGGGTGTGTTCTTCGGCCGGTGCCAGTGAATAATATCATCTAAGACTTATTCTAAAATCATTCTAGGTAAAGTCGAGCAAGCACTTGGATGCACTTGGCTGCACCTTGCCATGATGACCTTGGAAGTCTCCAAGGGGTTCTGGGAGTCATCCAAAGCAGCAGCGACTTCTGCAATCGGAAAATGTGCGCCTGCAAAGGCTGCAAAAGCTCTCGTTCGTGCCCCCTGCCCCTAAACTTCAACATGATTTGCCCGCCCTCATCCAAACTGAAGGGCATCCCGTTCCAAGTTCCAAATTGCTGGGGACTCTCAACTGAAGGGGCCAAAAAAGAAGCTGCAGATCGTCCTGCAAAGCACACATGCAGCGGCCCTTGCCGTGAAAGCAGGCTGCGCCCCATGAATGCCTTCTTTGGATTCGGCAGTGCCTCGGACTGCGCTCTAGTTCGCGCTTAGGCATGTGGAGTTGCATGCCGTTGACCTGATGTAGTCACAGTCGTGCCCAGTCAACATCTTGGAAAATGATGGGGGAGGGTGTTAGCTGCTACTCTACACACACACACACTCTCTCTCTCTCTTTTTGTGCTGGGGCATGGCCCTTTGCATAGAGAACAGCCAGCCCGGAGCTGTATAAACTCCAAGGGGGATCGACAAAGGACATCTGGACACGATTCACCTTTAGCGTCCCGCTTCACCCTTTGGGAATCTCCGAACTTACCTGCGGGCCCACATATTCACAAGGCTTGGCTTAGCTGAGGCTACCACCACTCCAGCTAAACGCTTGTCGGTCAGCCTGCAGTACCATCTTCACAAGGCGCAGCTGCTGGCAATTGAAACGGGTCACAACGTACAAGGGCTAGGCTGCACGGCCCCTCCAGTCAAGCCCTTGCGTTGGTGACACAAGACTCTAAAGAATTCATGCCTACTTGTTATACATAATTTATATACAGCATAATTACATCCAATTCTGTTCAACAGATCCTTTGGCAGCCGCACACAAGCGACAACTGTCAACCAAGAGCATTCCAAACAGCATGTCCGGATGCATCAGACCGTTTCGCCTTCCAAAGAGCGGAGACATTTCAGGATCTCCCCGAAACCGGGACCGGGAGAACCTTAGCGGCATGTTATAGTCCACAGTTTAGGTGAAGCATGGTAGCAGTCCCCTGAACCTCCTTGTGGAACACCCAACAGATTGATTGCACTTATTTAGTTGGTCTTGCAGGATGTTGGCATGTGAGTCCCTTGTGTCAGGCGAAACATCTTCGTCGCGCCCTTCCTAATGCAGTAGCTCGCCCATTTGTTGCTTGCAGAAAGCCTTCCGTCAAGGAACAGCAGGAGAGTCTTCAAGTTCCCGTTGTACTTTTCCGCCATGCCATCCAGCATGCCGCTCCACGGCATGTCATTAGTCCTACAGTCAGGTTCGGACACTGACCCTTCTTGGAACTAGGGAGAACAATGGAGACCGATTCCATTGGTATATGCTTGTCGTAGATCAAGCAGCCTTCTGGCACCAAGTGGCACAAGGCCATAGAAGCGCAACACTGCTCCCCTCCATGAACACTTTGAACGACAAGCTATCTGTTCAAGTCTGAGTCGAGTTGTGGGAGACTCGAGGCCACAGGTAGTGATCAGTTGAGCTGAGTTTCTTGTCCGCTTCTTTCACGGAGTTCCTTGGCTAGAGCCGCAGAAACGTCATGTTTCGAAGGCGCGGCGCACAAGGGGCAATATCGGCAAAAGGATAAAGCAAGGACTCTGAATCCAACAAACCGTGCCAAGTCTCTGATATGTGGCACAATCCAATTTCGAGTTGGAATGGCTCCGATACTCTCTCACCCATGGGCCCAAGTGCAGCCTGTGCTTTCACAAGCAGGCGGCCAAGATCAAAAAAGTGAGCGGCCTGGTCTCAGTCAAGGTCACGAAGACCGCATCACAGGACTGGCCGTCGGGAAAAGGCTCCTTGTCATGAGCCAAGGCATGCTTCAGCTCTGAGAGATGAGGACTGGGCTACAAAAGCGCTAATGGTCAAATGACCGGACACAAATTTACAGTATATAATAGCGCTTGATGGGCTTTGTCCAGCATGCCAATGTTGTCACTACGCTTCTCTGACACACTTGATTCCTGACTATGGAGCGGCTTCACAACCTCCTATTTCTTTAAACGCCATGGCCCTGGATTATCACTTCTTTTTTCTGCGTGCTGGGGCTGAAGGGGGCTTCCCAAGGTCCTCTGCGACCCGCTGAGTTTTTGGGCCCACATTGTTGGTTGTGGTGTGCGAACTGTTATGCTCGACTGCATGCAACATTGGATTTACAGTACCAGAATGTACCACCTCAAATAAGGTTTTTGAAGCTTCGCGTTGCTGTATGGCTCCCGTCACCAAGTACTCGACTGCGAACCCGTGGACCATGACCATAGTGGACTGAGTAGAGCACCTGGATCCAGTCTTCCAAAGATCGGCCAAGCGCGCCCTGCAATTGATGGAGCCCTTCAAACCTTGGCGGAAGAAACAAATTTGGGAGACGTGGTCCGCCTTTTTGGGGTGGTTGATCGAAGAAACAGGAAACACCAATGTCCTAAATACGGGGAAACTCTGGAAACGACGTTTGGCCATTTTGATTCAGTCTCTCGGGGCTTGTTATGGGTGGTTGGAAGCACACAGCTGTGGTGTCGATGGATTGAACTCACAGCTCTGTTGGCTAAAAGCCTGCTTGTTCCAGTGACGTATTGCTGTTGGCCATGTTGAAGTTGTAGAAGCGCATGCCTCAGGGCAGAACAACCTCTGTGATCGTGTTTCACTTTCTACGAGGCCAATACATGGCCTTGAGTTTCGCCCCAGAATTATCCACATTGATTCAGTTCTGTGATCGTCTCAACTTGTGACATATGTCCGCCCCACCGGTACCAATCCAAAAGTAAAAAAAATACATAAATAATTATAAATATATATATATATATACATTGTCGTATATTGTCACCTACGGTCAGGTGACAGTTAACTCATGTTAATTCTGAAAGCCAAAGCCCTCACAGTGAGCCAAAGCGAACCAGTTTATCAGAATGAGCCCAGGCATCCTTTCACGCACGCAATATCCTGGACGCACCTTGCCACCAAATTGCGGAAGGTCTGCTCTCCATCACTGGAGTTGCTCGCCATATCACTTCCACTTCATGGCACGGCATGTCATGGCTCTTCTGAGGCAAAGCTATGCAATATCACAGCCTCTTCGATACTAAAAGAGGCCAGTCACCAGCATCACCAAGTGGGCCAAACATCATGGTGTCCGTCAAGATTAACATGATGCGTTTGGAAATGTCTCGTTGCAAGCAGCCATACATATGTGTGAGCATATATCATGACAGTATATCATACCGTGCCTATCGACGACTTTATGGCACTGTGTGAGCTTAAGGCTTGAGGCTATCTTCCAAACCAATGACTGAATGGTCTAACGGTGTAACGTTGAAACAACTGCAGGACTGAGCAGAATGTTGCAGCACAAAGGCTGAGAAGCTGCGACTGCGATCATTTACATAGCTCCTACTCAGTTGAGACAATATTAAGCACAAATTTCTATGACTATGAACACTTTTTGCCTGTCACCGCTTAGGTCTTTTGCCGTCCTAATAGCTTGGCGCAGCGCTGCAAGCGGAAACCGAGACGAAGTCGGTACCTCTATAGCTCTAGACAGCAACAGCATGCTCAACCCGTCGTGGTTCCCAATGATCTCTTCTCAAGCTTCATGTCGGTCAGGCTCGCAAGTTTCTACAGCAATCTACCCGTCAGTTTTCCAGATCCTTCTGCTCACGGTTAGCCTCAGCTGTGCTCGGTGGCAAAGAGGAAATGTTATGATTAATATTTTAATTATTAGCTAATTAGCTCGTATATATAGAACCGTTGTTTCTGTGGTGAGTTGATGAGTTACTGCGCCAATATCTACCAATCGATACTGCGTCGCCCTGAAGCGAAGGAAACACATCACAACAGCAGTAATTACTTGAAAACCTGGGTCCCATCTTCCCATTCAAGGCAGTGCCAAGCTTTTTCAAAAGGATGCGCTCTTATGGCTGATGGCTCTTATTACAAAGAGCAGCACCCTCAGCCTGCAATGGCCTTGACGGTCTTCAGGTCTGAAGAAGAGCCCATGGTGGCTTCGGCGGCAAAAACTTTAACGTAGTTGATGTCCCAATAGGCATCCTTCAGCTGATCCACGTTGGCCGGGTCCTGGATGAACTCGACACACTTCGCCAGCCCCCCAGGGAACACGTTTCCAGCCCAATCCCCACAAAAGTCCAAGTTGATCGTCAAGACATGGTCCTTGAAATGTGAGGAAGGACAGTTTTCACCGAAAGGGAAGAACACGTAGGGCTCTCCCCAGCTTGTTGAATCTGGCGCGTCGCTGGTGATATCCGAGGGGATGTCCGCCCGCTTCCAGAACCACATTTTGATACCTGTGCTGGTCCACTGTGTGGCAAACACTCCACCACCCGCTGCATTGAAGGGTGGCCCTCCGCTGTTGGAAGGTCCATCCAACCCGCAACCATCGTGAGCATCGGCGGAGTTGCAATCGGGATTGAAGAGGCCCGGAACCATCGGCATTCTGCAGCCATAGCTGGTGTGTAAGGTGCTCTGCACGTGTTCTTCAATATTCACCGTCTCAATGGTGTCAATCTCGCCGTTGTTGGGCCAATCAGGACCATAAGACCACCAAGCAGGCCAAGTTCCCAGGCCTGTTGGCATGTGCTTGATATCAATCACAAAAATGTGGCTCTCACCAAAGCGGTTTGCTGACTGCAAACGGATGGACTTCGCAGGGCCATTCTGCCCGACCAAGCTCCCAAGATGGACTACTCCATCGTTGATTTGGAACAAACCTAAGCTCTTTGCCTCCTCCTCCGACACGTACTGTACATCCCCATGGGTTGGATCAGCCTCTGTGAAGAAAGTCCAGCATGAAAGGAAGCTCTCTCCCTGAGGCCACTGTTGGTGCATATCGAAATTGAAACTTTACAGTGTGTTTACAGCTTACATCAGTTTACAGGAGTCAAGTCCATGTTGAAAAACAGCCTGATTTACAGTAATGGTCTTTGGGGGGTATACTGTCTGCATTTCTCAAACCCGCACCTCACAAGTCAATTGCACCGGCGCCCTCACAGATTCGTGAATAGGTGCCCATACATCAGGAGTAAACTTTTTCCTTGAGATTGGCGCTGACGTCTGTCTTGACCTTTTGGGAAGCAACTTCTTTGGTCCACGCTTTTTTGGGACAGATGCTGCCGTCGCGTTTTCTTTCGAAGCGAGCTGCAGCATACCCTGGACATCCCCGACAAAATCCACGCACTCTGTGCCTGAGCCGCCATTTTTGCAGACTTCGTTGTCACGACTAGCCGCAAGGGCCAAGACCGTGATCACAAGGGTGCGTGCAAGCATTGGTGCCTACCTACAAAGCTAGATTAAACGGTTCGCTTGCAAAAATGAAAAGTGCTTGAGCCGCAAGAATTCCACGCCAGTGAAGTGAAATGAGTTCTTCAAAGATTGATGTATGGATCACGTCGGGCAAATGTTAATTGTAATTATGCACCTTGGCTTTCCAGCTGATGCGGCTCCTGCGCTGCTTCTGTTGCAGCTCCCGAAGTCCTTGCATGCCATGCTTCCTTGGCCACTGTGATTTTCTGCTCTGTGGCACTTTGCGCGTAGAGATGCAGCACTGAAGTTTCTTTTTTTGGGGGGATATCTTGGGCACACATCTGTATCTGTAATGGTATCTATTAACAAATTACTGTACACACACATAGAGAGAGAAAGAGATCAACAAATATCAGAAGCAAGGACTCAAGGACCCTTTTCTCGACAAATGATGAGATCAACTATTCAGCTGCAAGTTGCACCTAAGTCACTGTTTTGCAAGGCAATAGTAAGATGGGCTCTGAGGCCTGATTTCAGGAGCAAGTCGTCGTTGCATTTTACAAATCGTCTTTGGTTTCAAGCACATTTCGGCCCCAGCACGACCAATTTGCGCCGCCCGCTTAGAAAAGCAAACTCTCAATTCTATGAAAAACTGATGCTCAATTCGATTCATCACTGTCTTCGTTTTGGTCGAACATGTCTCAATAAGTTCCAAGTGTCATGAAACAATCCTTCATCTCTTCACCATCGTCCCTGGCATCGTCCTGTGGAAGGTCTTCTGACGCCAACAGCTCGAAGGTGGTGCAAACACAAAAAGCACTTGAAAACCCACCGGTATTGCTTCATATTTATGTCGTGTTCAGAAAGGGTCTGCTCGGTGCAGTCCTCGTTGGCACGTGGAGGAGCTCGCAAAGATCGAATACCTTAAACTTAAACAAACAAAAACTGCAACTTGCAGGCTTGCAGTGGATGCAGTTCAATAGAATTTAGCCAGTTGATTACAGTATGCAATGTCCTAGCTTGCTTGGTCCTGGCTTGGTGTCAAATGAACCTAAAACACCCGGATCGCCTGGAACAAAGCATTGCCATTTTTGCATAACAAGTGCATGACATTGCTGACATTGCTCAACATGCTCAAGAAAATTACCCTCTTTGCTTGCATCCAAGATGCGGCCACCCTGGCCCTTGATGTTCAGGATGGCCTGCAAAAACACAAAGTCTGCTTGACGGTATGTTCGTATATACAAAAGCATGAAAAACTGATGCATGCATCTGTCAGTCATGCAAGCTTCGTGCAGTATTTCTCTCCATTGAATCCTATTTCAACGTGTTTCCACCATTCGAAAGCTTTTAAAAGCCTGGAAGGTCGGATCTCCATTGTGCTTTCGACCTGGGTGCTGCTCAAGGCGACATTAAGTTGGGAATGGGAATGTCGTCACAGCCCATCAAAGAATGATAGACCTGAATAGAGGCTACTCCGTTCAGAGGGCAAATAAGTCACTTACTTGCTTTGGTTAGTTCTTGTGATGGCAATAGATGCTCCAATTGACTTTGGTATGCCGTGCTATGTTCTGGTACATCAAATAGTCAAATAGCACCTTATTGTGGCGCATTGAGCGCTACTAGTAGGATGGCTTTTGGATGCTTTTGGTAACATCTGGTCGGCCCGAGCTGCAAGATGGACTCTTTCTGGTCACTTGAACTGTGGGGAAATCGGTCTGGTATGGAAATTGTCTGGGTATGTCTGCTGAACAAATCTAATTAGTGAACTTTAGTGAATATCTACCATCATCATCCATCATCTACAGTAGCCGAAAGTAGTCTGCCCTCTTGGGTGCCAGACCCACCTGTTCCACATCATATGTGGGTGGCTCTGTCTCCTCTGGGTTGCCGATGACAACGCCACCTCCCGTCACCAAACAAAGGAAAGCATGCTGGGTACAAGCCTCTGCTTTCCAAAGCCAGCTAATTCACATGTTCTTGAATACAATCAGAACGGGTCTGCGACCAGAATGATCATTCGGGAGAAAAAGCTCGTGCGTTGTGAGTAAGCGCGGCAGGAGTCTGCTGTTCCCAGTTTGTCATTGCCATGTCTCCGGCAAGGGTGGCTGCTGTGGCCACTGCACCCTTCTTGCTGTGCTTGTGAGTCACCGACAGCAAAGAGTAGTTTCGCAAGTGAAGACTCGAACACCTTATTGATTGACAAGGGGGTTGGTCATGCACACCATGTCCACATCTTTGGAACCTTTCCGGACCGGGACCCGCACCTGAAAAGGAGCGGGTTTGATCGCTTCCTGTTTTTGCTCCTGATTTCCGAGCAGGGTCTCCCGTTCTCTTTCTTTAAGTTCCAGAATTCTGGAAAACAAGCAGCATGCGGGACTGCTCTGTGCTTGCAAGCTTGGAGGTCAACTACTGCGTCAACAAGTGTACTCGAGCAATGCCTTATTTGTGGCCAAAAGATCTAGTCTTAAACTTGGAAGGGATTTGGAGCATTTTGGGGCAACCCCGCTACTAGGTTGGAGGCCACCGCTACTAGGTTGGAGGCCACCGCTAGTAGGGTGGAGGCCATCGCTACAAAATAGGGTCGCGGCGGCAATCGCTACTAGGTAGGGTGGAGGCCATTGCTATCAGGGTGGAGGCCATCGCTACTAGGGTGGAGGCCATCGCTACTAGCGTGGAGGCCATCGCTACTAGGGTGGAGGCCATCGCTATTTTAGGGTGGAGGAAGTCACTATTGGGGTGGAGGCCATCGCTATTGGGGTGGAGGCCATCGCTATTGGGGTGGAGGCCATTGCTATTGGGTGGGGGCCATCGCTACTAGGGGGAGGCCATCGCTAGTGGGGTGGAGGCCATCACTATATATACTATGGGGGGAGGCCATCGCAATTTTGGGGGAGGCCATCGCTATTTTAGGGTGGAGGCCATCGCTATTGGGTGGGGGCCATCGCTACCAGGGGAAGGCCATCGCTACTAGGGGCAGGCCATCGGTATTAGGGGGAGGCCATGAGGCCATCGTTACTAAGGGTTGCCATCGCTATTTGCTTTTCTTTCTAGTAGGCCGGAGGCCATCGCTAGGTTGGAGGATGTTTTTCATGTCATATTGGAGCGCCGCAGAAGAACCCAAGTTTCGCCTCTAGGCCCCAGCGGCTCTTTCTTCTCCGGCGTTCGTGAGCGCCTGCGACAAAGCGACGGAGTTCCTTGGATTGGACCCACGCTTCTCGTGATCCATTCGGATTTGTCTGACATTCATTTATTTGACGTTTCTAAAGCATACTAAAGTGCATAGCCGCATAGCAACAGTCCCCTTATGTCCCCTTGCCCATCGTTTTCATGCCTTTCATGTTGACTTCTTCTAGCCGGGGGAGTTTTCAGATGAAACTGGACATCCGTCCTCGGAGAAGTGGCTCAGGGTTTTTGAATCACACACGCGGCTGCAACACTTGTGACAAAGGATGACAAAGGTGTTTGTGGCTGCTAGGAACAAGTGCATCGCTTCTAGTAACAAGTGCCTTACTAGTTTACTAGTAGTAACAAGAAGCTATTTGAAACAAAAAAGCTACTAGGAACTGGCCTGTCATTTGATCGCCGATCACGGCTGCGCCGTCTCCCGCCACGGGAGTCCTCGGTGTGTTTCATTCCACCAGCCCGCACGGCTGTTTGATGTCACTTTTGGAGCTACCCTCTCAGAATTACAAAGACATAGAAGTCCTAATCCTAGTGGGAGGAATGCATTGCCCAACTGAGTGCCTGCCGGCGTGTACCGATACTTCACCAAAGGACCTCTGGGTGAAAATATATACATTGGCCCGACAATACTCTGCACAGCCAACAAAACACCGCGAGCGCAAAACGCGAACCCAGCATGGGAAACCCAAAAGCAACACCTTCAATTTCACTCTCCAAGATGCGCTGCGACGGTCATCTCGCCTAATCGAGCAAGGATCAAATGCACGACTTCCATTGGGAAAACAATCGCTGAATGTTGGGCTCTACGGTTAACCCCTACCTGGCACATAGTCTCCGCAAAAGGATTTTAGTCGGCGCATGTCTGCGTGGATTTTTGTTGGACTGTTGTGGGACTTGGAAGACGTGGACGACTTTGGCCCAAGGGCATACATACATGTCAACAACATTCAACGGTTACAGACCAGTGGGGCAATGTTTAAGGCTCTACAAAACGGCTCGTACCCCTGCAGCTTCTGGCCTCGCAAAAAAAATGTGACAAACAAAACACCCGCTCCTGGCCTGCCACGGGAGTGGGAGCGGCGTCGTGGGGACCTGTTGAGGAGCTGGAAGCAAATGCCAAAAGCATTGTGGTCGCCTCTCTTTGGACCAAGACAATGAACACTTGTTTATGTCAAGAACCACAGCATAGTTGTATCGACTACAGCGCCATCCAGGATAGGATTGCACTCGCCCTATTTTGGCCACGACCAGCAGCCTGGAAGCTGAGCCATGCCATATAGGCCTTAGGATCTGGAGGGATTCTGAGTAGCCCCATACCTCACCTCAAAAGAAACAACGTTCCGCAACTGCCTGATTCCAAATTTGCATCGTCGCAGCCCAAAGATACAGTAGCCGTCAAACCCTTTCCGGTTGACCCTTTGATTTACAAGTTTCTTTTAAATAAGGCAATGCCAAGTATAGCCCCACAACTTGGATCGGAGGATGGGCCACAAGTGCTCCGCAACTGGACTAGTACACGTATGATTTCATTGACGGATATTGACGGTATGGATTTCTATACATGCACCTCATGTCCTTCCTGTTCTTCACACTCAGGTTCCTTTTCACCCAAATGAGCCTCTCCATTGGGAAGGCCACCCGCCCTACCCTAGCCCTAGCCAACACCACACATTATATTTTAAGTATTTTCCATATGTTTCCCTTTCAGCCGCCTCAAGGGAGGCCGGTGAGAAGGAGTCATAATATAGTGCGGCCGAGTCACATGCTGTGGCCTTGGCAGTGAAGAAACCCACGGTGTACATTGGTTCTCCCCCCTTCTCTCTCTCTCTCCAAGTATTTCTTGCTTGGCCCAGTGACACTGTGACTTGCAAATTCCTAGGCAAGATCTCCAAAACCATGCTCCACAGAAATCAGTCTCGCACTCTGAGGTCCAAGCTGCCAGCAATTTGCTATTTGCACTTTGTTCTTCCAACTTGTCACCCTGCGTGGTTGTTTATTGTGTTTTACTCTTTTGTGGTGGGCTCTGGTGATTGCCATGTCGGTGGGACCCTTCAATGATATTCCAGCATCAATCAAGCCCTATATATTGTCACTGTGTGCTTTGGCATTGGAGCCAACATGGCAGCAACATGCAAATGCTCTTCATCTTCGCATTCATCGTCTCAGCATGTAATGTGGTGGCAAAGCCACCCACAGCGGTAGAAAAAACATCTTGCAAACATGTGTTTAGCACCCCCTTTCATTTTGTGCAAGTGAGAAACAATGCATTCATTTTGTAATTAATCTGACTGTATGAATGCACCTTTGCCTTGGAGCCTCATCCAGTTGCAGCGTTTGGAAGGTTTGGACTCGCAACCAGAAGTTTGCAAAAAAAAATTGGAACTGATTATTGCAACCATGTCCGATGCCCTTTATTTTCAGATCCTTCGAGCAGCATTTCAAGCTCCGACGCATTTTCATGGGTTTCCAGCTGCATAGCACATGAGGACGAGGAACTTTGGTCTATCGGTTCATTTTCGATGGGAACAGGGGCCGGGCCTTGCCGCAACAAGCATCTTGGTTCTGGTCGTCAGTGCAACCATTTGAGTTTGGTGGTGTGCTGACTGGTTCCCTTGTAGTCCACTGATTGGCAAGGTGCACATCAAGTACATGTGCTGCAACATGCAAGGAGCTTCGATAAACAAAGAGAAACCGAATGGCAATGTCCAAGGGGTTTGTCACGGCTCGATGTTCCACTCAAGCTAATTTGCCCGCATTGAAGCCGGCATTCTGTTCCCGGCAACGGGCGGGATCACTAGAGTCAGCGTCATGAACAACCAAAGGCTGCACACCTTCTCGAAGCCAAGCCAGCACAAACCACGCTCAAACTCGACTAGCCAGGCCGACTGTCCAGCACGGGTCTGGGCTGGTTGAAGGCTTGAAACTGCAACCAGTCCACTTGTCTATACGTTTATATAAACTAAACTGTTCCGAACCTGCAAAAGGCCTCAACTGCACAGGCGCTCTGGCATTACACAAAATGAAACAAGAGCAGGGTGCTGCATCAGTGACCGATCAAAACATCAGACTCCTTTAAATAAATTGGAGTTCCCTACTGGTCAGGCATCTAGCTTCTGGAAGAGCAACCAGTTCAACAAGTTCTGACAATATGTGGTCACATTGTTCACAATAAAACATCGGAACATACATCTATATTCGGGCTCATTCTCAGAAGCAGCTACTTGCGACCCGAATCATTGACAGCTCTTTGGAAGTTTAGACCTCAGGAGATTCTTGTCTTCCCCATGCCATGCTGCACAGGGTGACCATGTGCAGTCCAATTGGTCAGTCAGCCATGACTCATGGAAAAACACATATACAGTCCATCACACAAAGATGGCATACGACTCACGCTTGATCAGGTGGCATATCAACCACTTTTTGACATTTTTTGTCAGATGGCACTTGAATGAGCAGGGCAGGGAGGCTAGTGTGCAATCTTAAAACCCACAAAAAAAACTAGAGGAAACCTACATCAACGACCTCACTCAAAGTTATCAACGCATGCGCGCCGGAAGATGGCATATGTGACATATGAGAGCTGCCCCTCACAGATTCACACGCACACACTAAAATTGAAGAGGGGTCAGAAGAGAGGAAAGAGCAGAGCAAGGAAAGAAAAGGAACCCTAAGATGGCGGTGATGAGAGGGGAGGGTGGAAGGGGGAAGGGAAGAAGAAGGGGAAAGAAAAGAGGGCAAACTAAAACGAAAGAGGAATCAGAAGAGATGACAGAGCAAAGCAAGGGAAAGAAAAAGGACAGGTACAAAGGAATACAGGGGAGAGTAGAGATTAAAAAGAAACGGGAAAGAGGAAGAGAAAAGCAGGAAGGCGGAGAAGGGACCTTTGGAACTAAGATTTAAGATGGCACATGCCAGGTGATGAAAGGGGAGGCTGGAAAGGGGAAGGGAGGAGCCAACCTACTAGCGATGGCCCCCACCCAAATAGCCTCATACCTAATAGTGATGGCCTCCAGTGTAGACCGTCGTCTCACATCAGCCAAAAAAGATCCTTTTAGCAAACTTGCATGAACCATCTTCTCTGCATATGCCATCTAAGTGCAACGTGTTTTCTGTCCTGTCTCTGTCTCTCTCTCTCTCTCTGTAACTCCTCTCCACAAACTGAAGGTTAAATGAGAACGGGCTGCAGGCAAGCTTTGTTATATAACTCCTGTGAAATGCACTCCATGCATTGGTGAGTTTGGTTGTTTTGATCAGGTTTGATCTGTTTGCATCTCGCCGCCTCTCAAGCTGGGCGGGTGATGCGCGCGTCTAGCCATAGGCTACGACTTGTCCAGGTACGAGCTTACCTGGCTGACTGAGGAAAAGACCGCTTCCTGGACTTTGTGCGCCGGGATCCTTGAGATTGCAAGTGTTCACCACCTCCATTTTGCAGAGTTCACTACAACCACCACTTTAACCTCATTTTCTACTCCACCTACCACTTCAGGTTGCAACCTCCCTACCAGTGTGAATACTTGCCCAATTCACACTGGTAGCGGAGCTACAGCTCCAGCACCTTTAACGTTGAGGTCGACGGTGGCACCTCAACTAGATCCAAGAGCCCTACGTGATCGTCATGGCCACTGGCTCAGGAACCACCTCAGGTTCAGTTGAAGTGACAAAGGACAACTTCATCCCTTTGTTCATGAACAACCCTCGCGACTATCGCGAGTGGAAAGCAGAGCAAGGATCAGCTTGTATGGCAAAAAGATGGCCGTCCAGACTAAGACCAAAGAAGCTACCATCAACCTGCTCACATCTTTGCAAGGCATTGCATGGAGACAGGTTGAACACAATGCCGACAAGCTCGCCGAGGATGCTGAAGGTTTTGCCAAGGTCTTGCAGATCTTGGATGTGGTCTTCAAGTACGATGACCGTGTTGAAGCCCCTAGAGCTCTGGAGAACTTTTTTCTATGCTGCTGGACGACAGCCACAACAAACCCTCCTCAGCTACGCTGCAGACCATAGAGAAAAGAAGAGGGAAGTGGAACGCCACGGCATCAAAGTTCCTGAGAGCATATCTGGTTGGCTCCTCCTTCGACGAGCAGGCCTGACGGCCGACCAGCGTCACCTGGTGATGTCTCAGTGTGGCAGCAACACTGAGACCATGAAAGTTGAAGAAGTGATGTATTTCTTTTTCGGTCAGGACTACCGCACCAGTGCACCCTGCTGGACCAGTTCTCGTAGCACCACCAACTCCTGGCCTCGCTACAACAAGAGCTTCAATAGAGCCTACATGGCTGAAGATGAAGAAGAGTTTGGGTATGAAGACGCCTATGCCTATGACGACTACCCTGCGTATGACCCCGCTGATGAGGAGCAAGAGTTGTATGAAGAAGGTGAGGAAGGTCACTATATGAAGAAGAAGCCCATGGTCAGTGGGACACCGACCCTGCTGATGAAGAATGGGACGATGAGATGGAAACTGCATACAGCACCTATTTGGACACCAGAAAGAAGTTTGCAGAGCTGAAGGCCTCACGAGGTTTCTGGCCTGTGGTGGCTGTGCCCCCTGAAGGAACTTCATCATCTCCGAGCTCTTCCACGCCATCCTCCTCAAAAGGGAAAGGAAAGAGAAAAGGTAAGTCCCCACGAAAGGGATCTCCGGCTGCTCGCACACCTGCAGCTGGCTACAACCTCACTTGCCTGAAATGTGGAAAAGAAGGCCACTGGGCATCACAATGTCCCAATGGACCATCCTCCAGTCGGACATCGACTACTTCACCACCGAGAGCAAAACAAGATGCTATGTACGCCACTGGATATGTCGCCAATGGCTATGTGGATGCATTGCCCACCTCAGACCTTGTAGGCCTTTTGGACACTGGGGCAAGCAGTGTTGTGATTGGCCACAATGGCCTGATGACCTTGTTGACACAGATGCACTCCTTTGGCATCACCATGGACTCCTTGCGGTTCAGACCTGCCAACAAGCTGTTCCACCTTGACACCTACCTGTCCACCACTGGACGTTCTGGCCCTGAGCTGGCCCTTGCTGCTGAAGAACCACCTGCGGAGGAAGAAGACGATCGTTTTGACCCTGCGGGTATCAACCTGCACTATGAGGAGCCCTGAAGACGTCTTCAAGCCCATCACGAACAAGTTGCTCAACAAGTTGAACAACTACCAGCAGTTGAAACAAGCGCAGCAGCGACAGTCAATAGAACAAGCCCTGCGAGCTTTTGAACGAGGCTCACTTCAGACTTGGGAAGTCTATGCAGGCTCCGGCAATCTTTCAGCTGCCTTTCAAGCCTTGGGTCATGAGACCATGAAGTTTGACACCAACAATGGCTGGGATTTCACGAAAAGAGAACATCAAAAGCAATTCCTGGCTTTGCAAACCAAGTTGTGCCCTCGCTTTGTGTGGATTGCACCACCTTGCAGGAAATGGTCACCTATGCAGCGCCTCAACGCCCGTGAACCATGGCAGAAAGATCTCCTCCAAGCTGAACGTTATGTCGAAGAAAACACCCATCTCCGGTTCAGCCGTAAAGTCTTCAAGAACCAGTTGGATGCAGAAAACCATGCTGGATTGGAACAACCCAAACACGCCGAGTCATGGAACACCAGCACCTTCAAGAGCATGGACTCACTTTGGCACAAGACACAAGTTGATCAGTGCGCCTTGGGAACTATGTTGCCTGATTCAGATGGCACGTACCTGCCCGTCAAGAAGCCCACGACATTGGCACTGTCAGATGCATTATTGGCTGAGGCACTTCATGCAGTATGTCCTGGTTGTCAACGACATCTTCCTCTGGAAGGACCTTCTCCAGGC